CATGATTGGAGTCAGTGGTGTAGTGCAGGGTATACGCAGGTATACGGCGTATACCCACTTCTTTTTCAGTCGGCATTGCGTATACCCACTTCTAAATCCCCTCTGATGCGCATCATTTAGTTGCTAATACAATCTCGTGAATAAAAAAAACACCCAGTCAGGGTCGTACCCTGATGTATGTACTGATGCAGTTCCGATGTCATGCTGTGGCCATCAGCGGAGATATTAAGTCGATGTTCCACCAGATCCGCTTGTTGCCCAGTGATAAACCACTTCTACGATTCCTGACCGACGGTTATAGTTGAACACGTCATTAGAACTCTATAACCGCCAAAACCGTGTGATTAAAATATCTTGCAGATAAGGTTATACTAATATCAGTGTTGGGGAGTAACGGAATACATGTACCGGCGTTACGTATTCAGAAAACAAATTATGAGTAACAGTAGTCTCCACAGAACATAAAATATTCATTTTATTTTATGTTTCGTGTTCGCATTTATGAGGAAAAAACAATGTTACGGATGTGACTGGTGACATCAAACAGAAAGCACAAAACCGTTCTTTAAAGTGAATTTCGTTCTGTATTAATTGTATCTTAATTTTAATCAATGTTTCATCAACTAATTGCCTGGATTTAATAAATAAGAAGTAAATATATCAGACAATAGATAATCACGAAACGGAGGCGCCGGCACGTGAACTGGAGCTCGTCTCATAAATGAACCGAAACTCAGCATATGAGGTAGCCTACTTGCCTCACAGACATGTCTACTTTTAAACAGAACAATTCAAACCGAAAGAAAACAGACTACAGACTGCTCTCTGCTTGTGTAATCCGTATGAAATGTGCATTTCTCTCTGGCGCGTTGACTACTGCGAAGATCACGAGTCAGCATCGTCAACTTCATCTTTGCAGCCGACACTGACAAAGAAAGGTCTGTTTTTTTTTTTGTTAAGGATTTGTTTACTGTGTGTGATTAATTTAATGGAAAGCACATTCACTGCTAGTTGTCTTGCTGTTAATTTCAAATAAACGTAGCGCAAGTAGCTAATCAGTGCTCGTTTATTCAAACTAAGTTGTCCTATAACAGACGAACATCGCAAGTTGGGGACGGCCTTGTCTGAAAGCCTATTTGTTCGGCGCTGAGGTTTCCTAAGTGTGTTCGAACGCTCCATCACGTGAACTGCGCCTGGACAGGAAATGCAGCGCGCGGCTCAGTTGTTCGTGCTCAGTGATGATGATAGAAGACTCAGAGACCCCTTTCTTTACTTTTGTGTGCGTTTTATGAAAAGCAAACCACATACACTCACTTATACGAACTTGTATATTGGCATCCTGATCTTGGAAATAAACCTGATAAAGGATTCTCTGGCCGGATTCTTTCTGTAGTGCTCCCATCCTAAAAAGAACCACTAGTCCATACTTCACAAAAGTTGTTGAATGTTCGCCGGTTCCCGCCTCCTTCTTACCATAATAACTGAACCTTGTTACAGTGTTATCTTTTTTTTTTTGTAAATTAATCACTAACACTAAACTGACAATAAATGTAAGTTACTGGGAAACCGCAGATGGCTGTCAATCGCTGTATTGCATTAATAGAAAGTCAGCTAATATAAATATTTGTAATATAATGTATTTTTTCTAAAATTAAGTTTTAATTGAATTTTAGTGCATTGACCGTGAGGGCTAGAACATGTGTGACGTAGCCATGTGCTCTTACTAGACTGTCTCATTCTAGCGTTTAATTGCTGAGGAGGAGTCTAGCCTACAGTACAAGCCTCAGAAGGACTGGACTAGGAAGAATGCAGTCTCGGTACGAAGCAGCCTTCTGTTTGAGAAGCACCCCCTATGCAACACAGGCACCTCCTCCCTAATGAGTGCATACGCCCCTTACTTATGATTGGCTACAAGTATGTTTTGGCGCTTGGACTCAGAGCCACTTTCTACTTCTTAGAAATTGATTATTGCACCTTTAATAAAGCTACATGTCTCGGATCTAGTAGTTCATCCCACTATATTGGTCCTGATCCTTATCCTGATTTTCTGCAGCAGCTTTTATATCCCAGTTATCATCACACACTGACCTCTATGACCTCCACTCTACCAGCACAGGGACGGTTACTACCAACCAACCTCACGTTACCTGTACACAAGAGTCTATGAAAGTCCATGTATAGATAAATTAAACTGTTTTTTTGCAGTTCACTTTATTCCTGTGGTGTGAAAAATAATTTTTGCATTTCTCTCAATTAATATGAAGTCATAAAAACTGCATATATAATATCATAACCTTTCAAACCAAAAGATCATTTAATGCAATTACAAAAACAGAAGAAAAAAATAATGATTTTGCTTCCATAAGCTAATTTTTTAAAAAATAAAATAAAATAAAAAATATCAGTAAGGAAATATAAGCAATAATATATAAAAATGAAACTAAGAGAAATTAAATATTACACGAGTTCCGGTGTTAGATCCACTTGCATCCACCTTAAAGCATCATAGAGGCAATGCCGTAAGTTTATTTATGTGATATTAAACATCATATATTTGTAGAGATTTTGTTAAAAAGATGATGTTTGATAAGATTGCTAAAAGCGATGTTTACTATTGTGTACAAGCTCACAGCACTGCTAATGGCCTGTATAACTGCTGCTACATTGCGATTGGCATTGTGTATTCATGTTGTAATCATTCATAATGTAATGTTACTCAAGAAATGGACACTGAATATTGCTGTATTGTTTTATTGCAGTTTTCACCACTGCATGTAAATGAGGAAGCGTGACAGTAAAGCATCAAATTTACTACGACTGTCTTCATTTGCACGGTTTAACTGTTTAGTCAGAGTTTCAACACACTGTACGAGAACACTACAGACAGAGAGACATACAGTATCAAAGCACTATTTCAGAATAACGGTATACAACATTTCATAGAATTTTATTGAATTTTGCATTTTTAAAAAACTGTTTGTTGAAACAAATGTGTTTCAACATTCCCCAATTTCACAATAATGATAATAATAATAATGACATAATATCCATGCATTGTCAGTCTCATTTTAATCGCTAAACAAAAAACATTAAAATCAATTCAATATTACAATCAAATTTGACAATTATGAAACAAGTACATAAAACAAATGTATGCATGCTTGGTATGTCTGACTGTCAGAAAACCCTATGCAGGACATAAAGTGAACAACATACTCTTCTGCTCAGTTCAAAGAGTTATTCTTGATCACAGCTGCTGTTTGTCAACTTATTTCCTAAAGTACATTCCAACGTTCTTTAGCAAAATATATATGTTCACCATCAGTGGATCAACATTCAAAATATATATATTTTTTTATAAACTAATGTTAAAGAAATGTTAAAGACTGGAGCATTAGAAGTTAAATGGTGAACTCTCAAATTGCTATATCTGCATGAAAAAAAAAAAAGAATAAATGTAATTGATTCAGTAGATTTCAATAAAGAATGTTACATAAAACATGAAGCAGTGGGTGGGGTTTGAGTTATAACATCCCTCCCTGTTTTCCTGGCTCCTCCCCCACATCATCATAGTCTGTTATTAGAAAACAAGAGCGCATTAATTTATCAATACAAGTATAATAATGAACACATTAATGATGACATTCAAGTTAAATGAGACCGTGACCACAGAAATTGATAATATAAAGCAATTATATTAAAAAAGGTGTCAATAACATACCAAACATGTCACTCGTATATTCCATGACATTCTTCACATCATCATATTCCTCCTGAACACCCTCTAATATAAATGTTAATAAGATTAATTACATGTGTTTATATGGCACTATGATTTGAAGGGGGAAAAATTAAAAAATGAAACACCAAAATATAAAGGTGTAGTTAAAAAATAAATGTGTAATTCTCACCTGTTTTATCATTGGAGAATTGTCGTACAATGATGACATCATCATATCTTTCTGGTAAGTCATCTACAACAAAATAATAAAAAGTGAAATGCATCTATTAACAAAATGTTACATTTTAAATGATTAAAATGCATATAAATCTATAGTGTTAAAACCTATCGAAGCAATTATAAGAAATAAACCTGTATCATAAGATTTCAGTCCAGCAGTGATTATATCATCATAATTATCAGGTGTGATTTGTTGCTCTTCTAATTGAGTTAATAGAAAAGAGGAAATAAAAAGAAACTGCTTTTACACTGTAAAAAATGAATCATGGGTCTTGTCATTTTAATTAAAAAAATGAAGGTGTAAATTAAAAATATTGTGTATATTTTATTAAGAAAATTGTGGTTCAGTGTTGTATAGAAAATATTGAGGACATTTCACTAATAAAACCAAGAGATACATTTCCCTAGTTTTTGTAAGGAAACATACACAACTTTGAGGCTTGAATCGAGGAACCGATTAAGCTGATAAAATTAACGAAAAAGGAATTCAAATAATCACAAAATAACAATAAAATCAGAGAATACAAATTATTAAAAATAAAAGTTAATACAAATAATAAAAAAGAGACATAGATAAGATAAAGTGCAATCAGTTGGATGTACAGTGGCCCTAACTGCCTGAATCACTAAATTTGGGGTGCCACTGTATGAATGGAAGAGTCAGAGAGCTTTAGTTCATGAAACACACTAGTACTAGTAGCAACTTTCCAGCGTACTAGTGACCTCCTAACCTTCAATTTACTCACCCCTCTGAGTGAAGAAACTCTGTCTAGTGGGTCTGTGATGAAGCTCCTCATAAACGGCCTCAGTCGTCGTCCTGTGTCTGCTCTTAGAGAGAGCTGTGAGTGTAGACAGACAAACCTGCTGTCAGTTCACAACACATGACTGATCACACACTGAATAAGACACAATATGACAGTCTCTGGATCTCTCCTACCTCTCCTCATCCCTCTGTTCTGCTGAACCAGTATAAGCAGTGGCACTAAGAGCAGTAAAAGCAAAACTCCCAGTATAACCACAAGCACAGAGAGAGACGCTACTGGAGGAGTTTGTGGAGGAGTGACTGATGTTGAGCGCACTGTCTGAGAAACTGGAGGAGAAGCTGATGTTGTTGTGGCAGGAGTAGTGGACACTGACAAATCTGTAAACACATTTAAAATGATGATTGTCTAGAACACACAAATATTATATGCTCTAAAATTATGTGAAATGACTAATATCGGTCAGTGTTTTGCAGTGACCTGCACATGTGAGTCCAGCGTGCTCTTTGTGGGAACAGTCAGTGTGTTTCTTCAGGGAGAGAGGACAGTCCCACAGGTGAATCTCATTCCCTCTGCACTCGACTCTGTTCAGCCACACAACACCTTCACCAGCACCAAAGACTGAATTCCCATCAGCCCTCAGTGCGTCTCCACAACCCAGCTGCCTGCAGACCACCTGAGCATCGCTGATGTCCCACAGATCAGCACAGACTGAACCCCACACAGCGTTATGATACACCTCCAGCCTCCCAGAGCACCGGCCCAAACCTCCACTCAGTCTGAGAGGAACATGCTCTAAATCACACACAGCAACATCACTGACCAGCTTCAGCACAACATTTACAACAAAACACACATTGAAACTGAAGTTATGGGCAACTGAAACTGATTCATTCATGATTCAAAATTTGTAATTTAAATAATTAAAATGAAGACATTTATAATAATATTGAAAATAGTAAATACAGGCTTGAAATAATACACATTTACGTAAACCTGTTTTTTGTCAAATGTACTAACTTGAACACTGTCTCTGGAGAGATGTTGAACATGTCAGACGACTCTGAGGAGACTCGTGACTCTCCTCCTCTGAGATTAAAACAATTTAATTTACCGTTTAACAAAACAAACAATATCAGATTTATGAAATCTTTCAGTTCATGTCTATCATTTTATGCTTTTAAAAACAGTTTATAAAATGTTTCAAAATCATTAAATTACGTAGTTCTTTGCACATGCAAATTATACAGTATTTATAGAAACATGATCACTAAATATAATCTTAAATGGTTACTAATTACCAAGTTAAAAATTTACCAAAGCAGGTGATTTTAGCCACTTCCTTATCACATTTATTTTGCCCCCAGGGTGAAGATGGACACTGCCATAAAGCAGAGTCATGTTTCCGACATTTAAAAAAATCAAGCCAGTTATGAGACTTCAGTCCCTCTGAATAACTGGGTTCACTGCCAGATCTTCCACAGTTCAGCTCTTGACAGATCAGACTCACTGTGTCTCTGTCCATCTGGTTCCAGCACACATTACCCCAGGATCCATTGTAGAAAACCTCCACATTCCCTTCACAGCCCTCAGTTAACCTGATCTCTTTAAACTCTAGATGGAAAAGTGTTAAATTCAGTTGTATTGATTTAAAATTAGTTAAAACTACACAATTTTTTTGTGTCTATAATATAAAATAATTAAAAAAAACTATTTTATCTCAATGGCAAAAACAATTATGCTATTTATAATTTGCTTCGCAGAAAAAAATAGTGGTTGCTGGCAAATTACTTGCAATGGTTACTGAGTGAAAACCACTATACCTGAGCACACGACTCCTACATCCTCCTTGTGTTGACAGTCATGTTTCCCCCAGCCTGGAGAAGAGCAGTTCCACAGGGACGTCTCATTCCCCTCACACTCCACCTCATCCAGCCATATGGGTCCAGAACCAGGACCAAACCAGGCTGGTACCTGCTGGTTACTGAGGGCCACTCCACACTGCAGCTGTCTGCACACCACATGGGCATCTTTAATATCCCAGGAGTCATCACACACTGTCCCCCATGAGCCGCTGTGAAAAACCTCCAGCCTCCCTGCACAGTCTCCCCCAGAACCCACCAGCCTGATGGACCCGCGGCCTGATATTCAGAGAGAGAAAAACACATTATTGATCACCAACAACTGAAGAATCTACCCAGATGTTGTTGTTCTCACCAAGGCAGGTGATTGACAGCTGTTGTGTGGAGCTGCAGTTGAGAGTTTGTGGAGAGCTGCAGTTCCCCAGATGAGCTTCACTCCCAGAGCACTGGAAGCCCGTCACACACTCATGACTGTGTTCAGGACTGGATGAAGAGGAGCCGGAGAAGTTCAGCACAGAGCCACAGCCCAGCTGTCTGCAGACCACAGAGGATTCAGCGAGACTCCAGGAGTCCAGCAGAACTCTCCTCCAGACCTGATGGATGAAAACTTCCAGCTCCCCCTCACACTGTCTCTCTCCAGACAACCGCACCAGACCATCATGAACAGCCAGAGAGGAATCTGAGGAGAAGATCTCATGTTTTAGTAAAATAAGAATTGTGTTATAACATGGTGAAATAGAGCATAATGCTCTTAGTGTCAAATAAGTTTACCAGAGCAAATGACTCCAACATCTCGTCTATGAGAACGTTCAGCTCGACTCCATGAAGAGATGGAACATTCTGAGAGTTTTGTTTCATTCCCGTCACAATCAAACACATCAGCCCAGATTTCACCACTTCCCTCTCCAAACCAGTCTGATCCCACAACAGACACAGCAATCCCACAATTCAGCTGTCTACAGAGGACACTGGCAGCTCTCATATCCCAGCATGCATCACACACTGTGCCCCATTCATTGAGGAACCGAAGCTCCACTCTTCCAGAACAGGAGTCTGAACCGTTCATCAGTTTAGCATCTGTGTAACCTGAATAAAGAACATAGAGGTTAAAATAAAGTATAATGCAGCTGACAGAGAACATATAGTGTTTTAAATACAAACAAAGAGACACTGAATATTTGTAATTTACCAGAACAGATCAGACCCACATTATAGTCACTGGTACAGCTTTGTTTGTGTGATAATGAAATTGAGCAAAATGAAATCTGGGATTCATTTCCTCTGCACTGAATCTCTTGTGTCCACATCTGAGCGTCTCCTTTGCCAAAAGCATCTTCTCCCAGCACCTGTACAGGAGAACCACAGTCCAGCTCTCTACACACAACCTCTGCATCCTGCTGGTCAAAGGCAGCGTCACACACTGAAACCCACGACTGATCGTGAAGTATCTCTAACCTCCCAGAGCACAGGTGAGATCCATTAATGAGTCTGGAAGCTTGATGACCTGTTAATATTACAGGAATGACAGTGCACAGTAGACAAAAACAAATGCTTGATAGTTAAATACAATAAACATACAAACAGTTTTCCAAACAAAATATTCTTCATGTCACAACAAATGAATGGGCAATCAGTTAAATGATTCACCCGAACAGATGACACCGGCATCATAACTGTGAGTACAGGCATGTATGCTCCATCCTGATGACCCACAGTTCTTCAGTGTAGACTCCGATCCAGCACAAAGTACACAACTCATCCAGATTGGTCCTGATCCTGGTCCAAAATGAGCATCACTCAGAGCATCTACAGGTTCTCCACAGTCCAGCTCTCTACACACCACTGCAGCATCAGCCATATCCCAGAAATAACCACACACTGTTCCCCACTGACCTCTATGAAGAACCTCCACTCTACCAGTACAGCGACTGTGACCACCAACCAATCTCACATTCTTTTTATCTAAGTGACAGAAAAATACAGATAGAGACTATGGGTGGATCTCCGTAAGCACACTAGTTCGCGTATCAGTATATTGTACACAAATTTGGGACTGGTAAAGCACACTGGCTCACTACACATTTGGACACTGATTATTCAATTTCCGGTGATATGACTAGGTGCTCGTGTCATAAAACATCACCACTGGTATTTATTGACAATACATATAATATCTTTCTGACATTTTTTGCTGTTTAAAGTACGTTATGAAATATACTTTGATTGTTGTTATATATATATCTGAAACATTTTAGCCAAATTTTAATTATAAATATTTACTACACTGTTCACTACCTATCTACTGATGTTTATACTGACATATAATTAAATTACGATTTGTCTTTTCAAATCTTCTATTACATGTCATGATGATATTGTGTTGATATTGTGTTGGTTTGTGCGATTTAACAGAATTTCCATTAAAGGGATACTTCACCTCTGGAAAGATGAATGTGTATTTAAAATGGGTCATTTATGTAGAAGAAATGTGAAATTATTTCTGAATTTGGAGCTTTCTAGACTGAGAAAAGCCAGAAAATGTATTTTTGGCTTATGTGGATGAAAGACAACAACTCCCAGAATGCACTTGCTTCGCTGCCCTAGGAGGCCACGCCTACCGGTAACAGAGCGCAAGTAGTCAGAGCCAGATAGCCATAGAGAGAAAGAGTTGCGACACGCTTTGATGTCGCCGCGACGGCTGTCACGTGGTTCATGTAAGCCCCAATAGTTCCAAAACATACGCGGGCTGTCATGTTCTTCTATGGACAGACAGCAGCGATTGCATTATTAAACGGTAAATATAAAATAAAACACACACCCAAGTACTTTTTAAGCCGTTATTGCATTTTGTTAATGTCAGTTTTGCATTTAGAGAGGCAGGGTGACAACTTAGATAAGTTTTAGGCTATATTTTTGGAGGGAAAACTTAGTGTTGATGTTCGCATTTGTAGTAGCACTGGCTTTAGCGGCTCTAACTTAACTTTTCCATGTCATTCATCTGATGATGGACGTCTTATGATATTTATTTTAGCACAACTGGGCTGTATTAGGCTATTGATTCCTAATAGCCTGATCTTGCTTATAAATTCCGATTCAGCCATTAGCTTACCTTCGTGATCACGCAAAGAGGTCTGCAGTGGCGGTCCGTTCAGAACTCCAACCAACATAAAATATAAATAATTACGCTGTGCCTGTACAAATGAATGATTTAGGAGGGAAATAGACTGCTCCCATAACGTAGAAAGCAACGACTATATTTACAGCAATGTTCGGTTAATATTAACTTAATACTAGTTCCTAAATACGATCCATAACTGTTAACGGGATTCATTTCAGTATGGCTAATGTACCCCTTCATCCTACCCTAATCATAGACCAAACCATTAATCAGAAAACACACATAAATACATGTATACGATCAATCACACATAACTAACCCTAACCCATACACACACACACACATATATGAATTATTGCATTATGTAGGCCTATATGTAGGCTATAACACAAACACATATATGCATAACCCTAACCCATTTAAATAACTGAATTGTGTGTGTGTGTGTGTGTGTGTGTGTGTGTGTGTGTGTGTGTGTGTGTGTGTGTGTGTGTATAATTGTATATATATATATATATATATATATATATATATATATATATATATATATACAATTATATATATATAGGCCTATATATACACACAATTATATATATATATATATATATATATATATATATATACACTATATATTATGTATATCAGGTTACTGTAAGTTAGCTAATGTTAGTGTTGTAAGTGTTGGTCACATTAAGCTATCGCTGCAATTAACCTATCTTCCGATTCACGAGAGGTCGGCTAATGTCTGTAAAAGTAAAAAAAAAAAAGTAATTTCATTAATTTACCAGCGAGCGTGCTTCGGAAGCACTGAAAATGAATGGGGTTCAATGCTGGAACTATCAGTGTTTGGAACTATTGGCTGCTCCACGACACGCGTTACTTCCGCATTCCTAAGTTCCTATGGCGGTCTATGGGAGTGTCGCAACTCTGTTTTTTAACGGCTCTGGCAGTAGTTAAACAACAAGTCTAGGCTACTAGTGAGTCTCCATGATGAGTCTGCCCGGGATTTCGAGATCGCCCAAAATGTCCGGGATTCGGCTTTTGCGTTCTACAGTCGCCATTCATTGTGTTTACTGTGGCGAGCAGGACGAGACTGAGGGCCGCGAGAGAACTGCGCGAGGCCGGTGGCGTGATTACCGATGAGCGACACCTGTGAGACGCACCGGTCTCGTATCTCTCACGGAGGAGCTGGAATTTTCTTAGCAATGTTAAAAGCACATCAACCGATCACTTGTGTTCATGTAAACACTACATTCAGATTCACCAATAGGAATGAATTCAGTTAGATTGAAACAAAAGGTGTGCATGTAAACAATGAATGGCGACTGCAGAAAGCAAAAGCTGAATCCAGGATATTTTGTACGATCTCGACGGCCCGACATGTCCAGGAAAAAGAGGATGAATGGTAACCCCTACAACTCAGCTTTCTCCTACTAAGTTACTCAGCTTTCTCCACAGAACAAGAGCCTGCTAGCTTACCTTCCAAAAAATATGTCTGACACTATGTGTACATTCTGTGAGTGAGATCCCACTCTCTATGGGCAGGTTGAGAACATGCGGAACAGCTTCTTCTACTGACTGTAGTCTTTAGCCTCTGGACAAAAAATCCTCCGATGACGCAAAATGAGGATTTTTGTGTCATCGGAGGATTTTTTCCAGACAAAAAATACATAAATCTCTCGTCTCAGGGGGATATGAGGGTGGAAAGCACAGTAATTTGAAAATACTACAGGTTTTCTACTAATACAAAGCTTAATGCTAAATCCTGAAGTATCCCTTTAAGGGCATGTAGTGAGCATCTGGTTTTTGGAGTGCATTGTGGGAATTTTAGGGAGCGAACATTCCAGTGCACTTGAACGATTTTGTGATTGAGACTGACTTTAAAGCTGCAGTCCGGCGTCTGCAATTGCAGTCATTCGCGAAATTATCAACTTTACGTGAGTTGTACTTCAACACCCTCGACACGGCACAGCGCGGATGAACACAATGTTTGAGGAGAGTGTGCAGTTGTCAGTCACCGTGCCGGTGTGGATTCTGGCATTCAGAATCACAGATTATTCTTTTTGGAAGTTTGACCAACATAAGAATTTTCACCAGAAAATGTCATCTGAACTAGTAAGAAACATCCACTTTTATTCTGGTTCTGACATTGCAGTAAATCGCGCTGATTAAATCTAACAATCGCTTATAAGTTATCATATCATGCAAAACTGTGCAAATTATACTTTGTTCTCAAATTGTTAATGTTAACAACGTCAGCATTGCGTGACTACATGTAATGACCTTCCGATATGTATCCTTGTTTTCGCATGGGTCCGGTTGCAGTCTCTTTTCTTCTGTAGCCGCTCAGAAGTCCGAACGAAGTCTTTTGCATTTCACAGCGGGTGAATCTGTTGTCACTGGTGATTGTCTGTCATGATTCTGCCTTAGTGTCCTTGATTTTCCCTGGTCGTAAGGCAGGATCATGACGGAATCATGTTTTGTGTATTAAGCGCATGGCCAATTGTTTGGACCATGTGCTTGTGTTGTCTCGATATGTAACTCCGCCCCCTTGTTACCCTCGTCTTGTCATTATTGTCTATTCAGTTTCACCTGTCCTCGTCATTTGTGTTCCCCTATTTAATCCCCTTGTGTTTGCTGTCCTGTGCCGGTTCATTGTTTCTCATTGTGTGTTTCTCATTGTGAGATTCTCCTTGTGAGAACTTTGTTTAAGAAGAATGTCTTGATCTTGTATTTGCTGTTAGTTAATAGTCTAGTCTTGTCAAGTGTTTTCAAGTTTTGTTATCTCTCGTTTGTATTGTCTCTGTTTTGTTAATTGCATACTGTCTGCGATTGGGTTCATCTCTCCTCAACCTCATAACAGAATGAACCGGCCAATACAGAACCCAGCAGACAGTTTGCCTGTTCCCGCAATACTACAACCGACTGGCCCGGAACTATGGTGGCCGTCGGCTATCGCCGACAGTTGGAAAGGCAAGCTTCCAATTCCTCCCCAGGGTGAGAGGACCCTGAGGGAGTACGTGCAGGTTGCAGAAGAGAGGAGGTTCTTCTTGCCTGACATCCTCTTTAACCGTTACCTCATCGCGGGCCTCAATGAAATTCCTCCTCTGGACGAACGGGAAAGGCTGGTTCGTCGCCCCTTCCAGGATATGGTGGCCGGTTTGTCACGGAAGGAATCGCGGGCTCCCACCATATCGTCATCACCTGGCATGCTGGCCGTGATCCCGGAGGGTCGCGTCCTCGCCGTTGCTACTATGGGGAACCAGACTCGTCCCAGCTCGACTCCCGAGGCATCATCTGCACCCGCTGATCTCCATGGCAAACGAGAGAGACGGCTGTCGTGGGAGTCGACTTCGGAGTCCTCTTCCACTGAGACCACAGTTCCTGCTGTGCTTCCCCAACCGGTCACAAGCCCGGCTACGGCCTCTGCTCCTCGACAGAAGAAGAAGAGGAAGAAGGGAGCCTCTTGTCCTCCGTCTCTGTCTCCCCCTGAGTCCACGATGGCCGTCCCAGAGCCCGCTCCAGCAAGCGCCGTTCCAGTGCCCGCTCCAGCAAACGCCGTCCCAGAATCTGCTGAGAGAGTTGCGGCCGATCTAGCCGCAAAGGAGGTTCTGCAATCGGTTTCGGCCCGTCAGAAGATAACCATCATCCTTGCTGCCAAGACCCTGTCTGATTATTTGTCTTGTCTAGCCAAGATCCTTGAAGTCCCTGCCTGTCCTGTCTCGTCCCCAGCACCCGTATCGGCCACTGAGAGCGCTGCACCCAGTCCTGCCCCTTCACCTGCCATGTCCCCCGTCAGGAGTCCTGTTTCCTCATCCTCTGTGTCCTCTGTGTCTGAGTCTGTTGCTGCCGCCACCAATGCAGTATCCCAGTCTGTCTTCCCAGTTGCCCCTGTCTCCACTAATTCCCGGACTGTTTCCCCATTCGTGCCTGTCTCCACTAATTCCCGGACTGTTTCCCCATTCGTGCCTGTCGCCACTAGTCCCCGGACTGTTTCGCCCAAGTTCCCTCCTCGTGTGTCCCCCTCCAAGTCTGCCCGGATTCCTCATTCCCCGCCCTCATCCCGTGAACCTAAGACCCCCAGCACACCCATCCACCCTGGGCCACCCCCCATGAACTCTGTTATTCCTCCACCTCCTCTGCCATGTTTGTTGTTTTTATTGTTCAATCCCAACCCTGTCGTTGTATTTTCTTGTCTGCCTTTGTTAGTTTTTGTCATGTTTTGTTGGTTTGTGTCTTTGTCACAGTCTGTCATGTCCCGTGTTTAATGTCCCCTTGATGAGCGTCTGGAAGCCGCTCCTAAAGTTGGGGGTTCTGTCATGATTCTGCCTTAGTGTCCTTGATTTTCCCTGGTCGTAAGGCAGGATCATGACGGAATCATGTTTTGTGTATAAGCGAATGGCCAATTGTTTGGACCATGTGCTTGTGTTGTCTCGATATGTAACTCCGCCCCCTTGTCACCCTCGTCTTGTCATTATTGTCTAGTCAGTTTCACCTGTCCTCGTCATTTGTGTTCCCCTATTTAATCCCCTTGTGTTTGCTGTCCTGTGCCGGTTCATTGTTTCTCATTGTGAGATTCTCCTTGTGAGTACTTTGTTTAAGAAGAACGTCTTGATCTTGTATTTGCTGTTAGTTAATAGTCTAGTCTTGTCAAGTGTTTTCTAGTTTAGTTATCTCTCGTTTGTATTGTCTCTGTTTTGCCCCATCGTGGGTTTTGTTTTCCCTGTTTTGTCTAAATAAATCCATGTTAATTGCATACTGTCTGCGATTGGGTTCATCTCTCCTCAACCTCATAACAATTGTCGTTTGAACCTTTCTGGATCCGCTATCAAATTGATAAGTTTAATTATATCAAGTGCTGTGAAAAAAGACTATAAATCTCCACCTCCAGCATCTTCTCCTTCTTTATGTGAACAGATGTGACGTAATGACGCAAATACATGCTCGAATCAGAGCCGTTGAAAAACATATTTAACGGCTCTGGCTCGAATCTCCCGCAGAAATCCACCAGTACCACTGGAATTAAAAACATTATTACAAGCTTACCGCTTTGAATCGAGCTAAGGAAAGCAGATGGTTTTGAACACTGGCTGGTTATGTATTTTCTCAAATGTGTATTTGGGATCATTTTTAACCCAAAAAAAGCTACGGACTGCAGCTTTAAAATAGCTGGCTCCTTGGTCAGTGTTCTGACTGTGAAATATGAAGCTGACTGAGATGCACCCTATTAGTAAAAGGTATGATATTACTATTCTCTTAACTCACCAGCACAGAACAGCCCCTGGTAATTATCATGTGAACAGTTGTTTTCATGTGATGGTGATGTTGGACAGTAGTGAATCTGAGACTCATTTCCTCTGCACTGGATCTCTTGTGTCCACATCTGAGCGTTTCCTTTGCCAAAAGCATCTTCTCCCAGCACCTGTACAGGAGCCCCACAGTCCAGCTCTCTACACACAACCTCTGCATCCTGCTGGTCAAAGGCAGCGTCACACACTGAAACCCACGACTGATCATCAAGTATCTCTAACCTCCCAGAGCAACTGGAGTTTCCAATAAGCCTGACACCTGAAGTAGCAAGAGATAAGAAACGTTTCAATTTTGTTTATCTTAAGGTCTGTAATTCTTGTCATTGTTGTTCTACCATAAAGCACCACTAATTAATGTGAAAGGAGTAAAATAGTCAAATTAGTCAATCTCTTATTTCAATCCATATCATCTGACTTTCTTTTTATGGAACATAAAAGGGGAATTTTACAGAATATCCTGGTACTCTTTTCAATATAATGACTTTTTTAATGCCAAAAAAAACATTTTGTGCTCTACAGAACAAAGTCATAGAGGTTCGAAAAGACACAAAGTAAATGATGACTGATTTTTTTTTTTTTTTTACTTTCCCTTTAAAGGAACACTCCGACTTTTTGGGACTTTAGCCTATTCACCTTATCCCCCAGAGTTAGAAAAGTCCATACATACCTTTTTCATCTCCGTGCGTGCTATAAGTCTGTTTGACGCACCCACCGCTAGCCTAGCTTAGCACAAAGACTGGATGTAAATGGTTGCAGCTAGCATACTAATCCAAATAAGTGACAAAATAACGCAAACATGTTTCTATTTACATGTTGTGATTTGTATAGTCACAGAGTGTACAAAAAACAAAGTCACATGAGACACAGACATATTTTAACCGTATAAATACTGGGAACTATATTCTCTGAAGGCGACTATATATTTTCTGAAGGCTAAACACTGCTACTTGGGCGGAGTGATAACCGCATCACCTGAGACGCGCTGTGGTGAGGAGCAGAGAGCGCGTCTCAGGTGCTGCGGTTATTACTCCGCCCAAGTAGCAGTGCTTCGCCTTCAGAGAATATAGTTCCCAGTATTTATACGGTTAAAATATGTCTGTGTCTCATGTGACTTCGTTTTTTGTTCACTCTGTGACTATACGAATCACAACATGTAAATAGGAAAATGTTTGCGCTATTTTGTCACTTATTTGGATTTGTATGCTAGCTGCAACCATTTACATCCAGTCTTTGTGCTAAGCTAGGCTAGCGGTGGGTGCGTCAGATAGAGTTACAGCACGCACGGAGATGAAAAAGGTATGTATGGACTTATCTAACTCTGGGGGATAAGGTGAATAGGCTAAAGTTTCAAAAAGTCGGAGTGTTCCTTTAAGGCAGTTGAATTATCAGTGATGTAAAAACAGTGCAGGGTTGGGAGTAGTTTACCTGAGCAGATTACTCCTGCATCTTTAGTATGATCACAGTCATAAGAACCCCGATTTACTGTTCCACAGTTCTTCAGTGTAGGTTCTGATCCCGAACATAACTTGCAATCTGTCCAGATTGTTCCTGATCCTGGTCCAAAATGAGCACCACTCAGAGCATCTACAGGTTCTCCACAGTCTAGCTCTCTACACACCACTGCAGCATCAGCCATATCCCAGAAAACATCACACACTGTTCCCCACTGACCTCTATGAAGAACCTCCACTCTACCAGCACAGCGACTGTGACCACCAACCAGCCTTACTTTCAAATTGTCTATAAAATAAATAAAGAGGGAGTAAAGACATATGGACAAAGGGAAATAATGAGGAAAAAAGCATCATACAAAGAGAAAAAAAAACTATGATAAAATGTACTAATATTTAGTTTAGATTTTAGGAACATTAAATTTGATTTCAATTTATTTAAAAAAGGCTCAAACCTGCACACATCAGTCCAACATAATTTTCATGTGAACAGTTGTTTTCATCTAATGGTGATGTTGGACAGAGGTAAACCTGAGACTCATTTCCTCTGCACTGAATCTCTTGTGTCCACATCTGAGCGTCTCCTTTGCCAAAAGCATCTTCTCGCAGAACCTGTGGAGCCCCACAGTCCAGCTCTCTACACACAACCTCTGCATCCTGCTGGTCAAAGGCAGCGTCACACACTGAAACCCACGACTGATCATCAAGTATCTCTAACCTCCCAGAGCAGCGAGAACCTCCAACCAGCCGGGCTTCTGAAAGAACAAAACAGGAAAAAAAATAATTTAAAGTTAGATAACTTTAATAATGAGTCAGTCATATAATCCATTTATCAATCAACAAGAAATCATATTTTCCTTTGTCTTCTTAAATAAAATATATTTATTATGAAAACATATTATACATGTCAGCAAAACTTTTTCCCAGTCCAAAAGGACTGAAAGTAACCTACAAAAACAGCTCATATACAAAACAGTGTATAGTTATTGTTACTGTAAAAATCCAAATGCATTACATGATCGCCTGCATTTCAACAATTTCATGTCAACAATGTCTATGAATGAATCCTATCAGGGAATTACATTAGAATGTAGAGTTAGAAACGAGCTTCTAAAGTTTGTTTTTAACAAGGTCTCTGATTATTACAGTTTGTGTTGTCAAAAAGAAGCTGGGAAATGGTCACATAAAATGAAATTATAACTGCTTTTGGAGCAATTGTTTTGTACATTAAGACAGGATTTTTAGCTTTAGCTTACCTGAACAAATGACTTGAGCGCTCTTATTAAGACACACATTAAGATCAGATGGTTGTTTGAATCCACATTTTTGAAGTGTAGACTCTGATCCGGTACACATTGCATTTTTCATCCCAAACGGTTTTGATCCCAGTCCAAAATGAACATCACCCAGATCATCTACAGGTTCTCCACAGTCCAGCTCTCTACACACCACTGCAGCATCAGCCATATCCCAGCCAGCTCCACACACTGTTCCCCACTGACCTCTATGAAGAACCTCCACTCTACCAGCACAGCGACTGCTACCGTTTACCAGTCTCACATTTCTTTTGTCTATAAATGTAAGAGAAAATACTATTGTAAATTTAAATTGTTATAATAAAATGAAATGAAATTTGCTTTGTTGTACTTTGAACTGTTACCAGTACACAGCAAACCAACGTTGCGCTCATGTGAACAGTTATTTTCATCTAATGGTGATGTTGAACAGAAGTGAATCTGAGACTCATTTCCTCTGCACTGAATCTCTTGTGTCCACATCTGAGCGTCTCCTTTGCCAAAAGCATCTTCTCCCAGCACCTGTACAGGAGCCCCACAGTCCAGCTCTCTACACACAACCTCTGCATCCTGCTGGTCAAAGGCAGCGTCACACACTGACACCCACGACTGATCATCAAGTATCTCTAACCTCCCAGAGCAGCGAGAACCTCCAACCAGCCGGACTTCTGAAAGAACAACACAGATCAACAAAAGCATGGCTTATTTATGGGGCTTCAAGATAATGATTTGTACATCAAAGCCATTTTTAGTCTTATAATGAATAAATAAAGTAAAAACACAACAAATATAAAAATAAAATGTATTTATTATTGAAGAAACTTTTCTTTAAAAATTAGAAGCCAATCTAATAAGTGCATATGAATTTTAATATGTAAAATACTTTACCTGAGCAGATGATTCCAGCATCTTTACTGTGATCACAGTTGCTTTTACCCCATCCTGATGACCCACAGTTCTTCAGTGTAGACTCTGATCCAGTACACATGACAAAACTCATCCAGATTGGTCCTGATCCTGGTCCAAAATGAGCATCACTCAGAGCATCTACAGGTTCTCCACAGTCCAGCTCTCTACACACCACTGCCGCATCAGCCATATCCCAGTCATCTCCACACACTGTTCCCCACTGACCTCTATGAAGAACCTCCACTCTACCAGCACAGCGACTGTGACCACCAACCAGCCTCACATTCACACGGTCTAAATAAGTAACAATGAGAGATGAAAGATGAAGGGATGAGATACAGCATTACAAAGTGGGACAACTGGGAAAATGGGACGCGTCTGATTATTTAAAATTAATATTCAGAGTTCAATAAAAGTTTAGCTCAATGAACATCAAAAGGTGTTGATTAACAAAATAATAATTTCATAAAAAAAATTATTAGGGTTTAAAGACAGAAATGTGAAGCTTATAATTTTATAAAGCAATTTTTTCCACACTAAAATCATGTTAACACATTTGTTTACGTCTTGTTTCTATATTATTGAGACAGTGAGTATATTAAAGTTTACAGAAAACCTCTCTTTTTAAAGGGGGGGGGGGGGGGGGGCAAGTAGAAATGTATTATTTAGGTAAAAAAAAAGTATGTCACAAATTATGTTAATTGAACTTAAACTATATTAAACATGGTGTATTCTTTTAATATATATTTCTTCCCTCTAGTTCTTCTAGCTGAGGTTTTGGCATTGTTTAAGAGACTAATAGTGTAACCCTATAAAAGGCCTTTAGGTTGTTTTGTAATTGTCTTGTTTGTCATGACATAACATAATACTGCATTTATCCTGGATTTGAATGAGTGATTCTTTTTCTTTTTTTATAAGAATGTTCATTGGACTTGCTCGAGCTAACATGTCTGTAACTAATATTTCCAAATCAATGTTTATCAAATCAGAACTCCAAATGTGTGATCAATTTTACTGCCACCCAACTCGAGGGACAGCATTCCTGCATGGGTATAGAGTAATGTTTGACACATGGCAATTAAGTCATTTTCAATCAGAAAAAAGGTGATCAATTTATGATTTTTTTATTTTTTAGATAACTAACAGAAGATTGAGACAACATTTACAATGTTGATATCACATGAAAAATGTAATTGCGATCACAAGACAAGACAAAAAAACTACAATAATGGCCTCTTAGGGTTTCAATAAATTAATATTAATATTATTTTGATAACGGTATATTATATTGAATAAAAAAGAAGACACTCATGTAAAACTTATTTATAGCTTTTATAAATTGGGGAGACAGAGAAAAAAAAACTGCCTGTTAAACACAAGATTACATTCAAAGACAATGCGATTTCACAGGCATCTAAAAAAATACATTACAGTACAGTTTAATTTTAAGATTTTAAGATCTTAAATAAAATAGCCATTCATTTCTAAAAAAAATAATAATCTATTTCACATCTACTTACCAGCTGTGATGAGTATTATAATTGAAGACAGTAAAATGAGTGTCAGGCATCTCTCCATCTCTCTCTGCTTGATTAATTCAACATCCAGTACAAGCTTCTCCGCACTGATGATGCAGAAGTACAGGCGTCCTCTCAGCCCCCTATATGAGAGAGAAAGAGGTTCAAAATCCTCCAATCACACTCACTGTTACCTTATTAGACAGAACAGAGGAAATCATCAAACAACTTCAGTGACAAATCAGACCAGGCTTTTATGACTTTCTCCATATATATATGTGTATATATAACTGTCAGTGCTGATGAACTCCTCCTCCCCACCCATCAAGACTGAGGGGATGCAGAAACACACACACACACGTATTTGACTGACTTACAGGAGACAGGAAACTCTCCAGTTTATTTACAGCATCAAAGCCCAACACCTGCAGAAAAGAGATAAAAGCACTGATAAATACCTGTGATATTAGTGTATACATATGTTAGCATGATATTAACACGTAATAAACTCAACTATACCAAATACTATTGTCAAAGTTAAAAAGAGGCAGAAAAGATGTATTTGTATTTTTGTGAAACATTTCATCACTTTCTCAAGGTAATTCTCATATTGCACCAAAGTGTTTTGTTTCAAATGGCCCCATACACACAAACCATTATTGTCAAAGTGATCTTGTCAAAATTCATCTTGTGTCCAGCAGTCAGAGAGGGCCTGTGTGCTTCATTTCTGCTAAAGCGCCCTTGCATAGAGTGAAGGGATGATACATTTTGTAGGCCAAAACCCAAGCCGTTTTATCTTTTAATCATTTAAACCTACTAGTCTCTATTTTCATGCTTCTAGTAGTTATTTTTAAATACTAGTACCTATTCCATTAACTAGTACTTATTCATTAGCTGGTGCTTATTATTTAGGTAGTGCATATTCTTTAGAAACTAGTGCTTATTCTTTAGGTGAAGTATGGAAAGCCGTTTTAACATTTAATAATTTAATCATTTAAACTGACAAGTATCTATTTTCATGCTACTAGTACTTATTTTTTAGATACTAGTATCTATTACTAGTACTTAGTACTAGTGCTTATTCTTTATGTACTAGTGCCTTTTTAAAGATATAATACTTATTCATTTGATTCTAGTCCTTATTTATTATACTAGTACTTATTCATTAGATACGAGTACTATTTCAGTATTAATATTGACTAGTAACTATTCTTTTGTTACTAATAACAAATGGAATTTTTGGCCATTGACTTCTATGGGGATCTGTCATTCAGATATCAACTATTCAGTTCTGACTAGTATGTATTCCAATTGTGACTAGTACAGATATATTAGATACTAGTTATTCATTAGGTACTAGTACTTAGGCCTATTACTAGATACTAGTATGTATTCAATTAATACTAGTACTTAGTCATTAGATACTACCTATTAAATAGATACTAGTACTTATTTAGATACTAGTACATATTCAATAGATACTAGTACATATTTATTAGATAGTAACTAATGAATAAGTAGTACCAATTTAATAGGCACTAGAATCTAATGAATAAGTACTAATGTCTTTTTAATAGGTATACCTAATAAATAAGAACTAGTATCTAAAATGTTTAGTATAGTATCTAAAAAGTCTCCAAAATGTTTAAAATACAAACCAGCATGAATTGTTTCAAGTTATATTTTGTCAGTGTAATACTTTAGACTGCATACATTTTGAAGGTTTTTTTTTTCTGCTTAATTTGGAGTTAACAGAAAACAGTCATGATAACATAAGAAAATCACAATAGAGATCAATTAAATATAAAAGTCAACAATATTAAAATACAACCACATCAAAGACAGACAACAGAATAATCAAGATAATGAATCAGATATTCTTAAAGGGTCATATAATGCCATTTTTGTACAAGCTAATATGATTCTTATGAGTCTAAATTAAAACTTTGTAATATACTTTAATTAAAAATTATCATTAGTATTGTAAGAAAACACTTATACCTGGTCAAAAACAGCTCTGTTTTCAGCACGCCATTTCAGTGCATATGATTTTAAATGAGCATATGACTTTTTGCTCACCCCGCCTCTCTGTTCTGTGCATACACCGTCTGTAACACAATAACCATAACGCGTTGTTCATTATAGACGTGGGATTATGAATTATATTGAGAACGTCGTACATAGAAAACATGCCGTAATGTACCCTTAGACACATTCATTGTGAAGCGTGCATCTAGCGATTTGCAAAGATTAATATAAATATTAAAGATTAATAAAACGTTACACTCACTTCAGTTATTTTGGAGGTTCAGCAGGAACACGAATAGTTGGTACCGGTCCAGGAGCAGCTTCTTAGCAAATCAAAACCAGCTTTATACTGACCCTCCTCGTTTATAAGCAGTCTGGTGTGTGAAACGATTCGCGCAAATATGAAAGCATTGACGTTGCTCGTGGGGAATATTCCCTTCGAAAACAAACTCAGCACCTGCGTCTTCAGTAGTTCGGATTTAGGAACATTAAAATGACTGTTGTGTTCGTTATTACACCCAAGAACAGAACACCACAATCGCTTAGACGCCATTCTGCTCATAGACAGTGCTCCAGCATATCAACAATGACCGCGCCGGTGCGCGCAGACTATGATTGACAGCTGGCTCACGAGCAAGGGCGGGTCTGTGTTGAAACCCGGCTGTCAATCAACAATCGTGGGAGGGGCGCCCGACCGTGTGACGTCACAAGGTCGAACGGCTCGATTTGAGGCAGGGGAAAACATAAGGAGATTAAAACAAAAACACTGGATGGATTTTTATCATTTTATGATGGTTGTGTACAGGCACTGCCAACACACATTTCAGTACAATCAACTTGTAAAAGTGCATGTACCATTATATGAGCCCTTTAAAAGAGTTTTTTAATTCTTGGCTGTATTCTTTAAATTCAGGAATCGGGAGTAGAGCATTATGATCTCTCAAATAATGAGAAAGATTGTTTTTCTCTTCAGAAATGCTATTTGCTTAAATATTCAGTACACACTATTTGTAATATTTAGTGATCTTTTTTGGATGAGATATACTTATACTTATTGTACAATAATGCAATTGATTTCTAATTAGGACAGTTGTTTTCTATTGGTGTAAATGTACAACTTCACAACAACAACACAGACACTGAATAACATTTATGCAAACATCATATTTCAAGTTATTTATGAATGTTTTCTAACATATATTCAAAAATGTTCAGACATATATTCAATGTTCTAACATATATTCAAAAACTGCAAGACATTGTAACTATCATGTTTTTTCACTGCTAGACTCTCCTACATCTCAATCATTTGACAGGAACAAAAAGAGATTTAAAATAAATGTTTAAATGTCAAAAGATTTAACCCTGACACCGATTCATAACCCTGAACTGTGGCAATCATGGCCATAAACAATGCTTACTAGAAATTATCAAAGGGAACCTTTAAAAGTAACGTTTCAAAATATTGCCAAATATTTCAAGATTTTTTTTTTTTTTTTTTTATAATAAAAAAAAAGATTAATTCCAGAAGCTGTAATGAACAGTGGCAGTGTGTGTGGCCATCGAGTCAAACTTCTTCTGTCTCATCGTTTGACTCCTCCTCCACATCATCATAGTCTGCATTAAAGAAAAAGCAAAGTAAAATCTTAAACATGAACGATATTACAAAATATTTAATAAGTGTAGGAATCATAAGACATAAAGCTTACCCTGGGCCTTACCTAACAAGTTTCTCAAATCTTCAGTGATACTCCACACATCATCATACTCATCCTGATCTCCCTCTTTACACATAACAAATACAGGTTGTGTCATTATTTTATAATTGTTTTATAATTATAATTTAAAAAAATACAGGTTGTGTCATTGATGTCATTGATCTTGGCCTTCATGACTGTCTGTGAATATATTTACACCTGATGATTCAATAATTGGTAGAAACACATGTACCCTGTCTTGAAAAAATCAAGATTATAAATGAAGTTGTGTGACTCACCCATTACACATTGAGAGCACTGTCCATTAATGATGACATCGTCATAATCCTCTGGTGTGTCCACTACACACACACAAACACACATTATTATTATTATAAAAAAAAAATTAAACTCTCACTATAAACTACTAATATATATATATATATATATATATACATATATATATAGAGAGAGTGTGAGAATTTTAATTTTATATATAACTAACTATTAATACAATATGAGTTTATTGAGGCAAAAGTCATAGTTAATAGTTATAATTTTATATACATACATATATATGAGAGAGAGAGAGAGAGAGAGAGAGAGAGAGAGAGAGAGAGAGAGAGAGAGAGAGAGAGAGAGAGAGAGAGAGAGAGAGAGAGAGAGAGAGAGAGAGAGAGACGATCGGCGGCTGTAGTGCCCTCGAGAGCCACTGGAGGGCACTCTCTCTTTATGTTATGTTTCATTATGGACTCATTATGTTTTATTATGTTCAGGTGTGTTTTAAGCTGATTAAGTTTTCCTGTCTTAAGCCCGTGTTTTCCCTGTGTTCAGTGCGAAGTATTGTATAGCGTAAGCGTACCATTCCGAGCATTAATCTCCGATTCTTAGTTCTTTGTATTTCGTGTTTCCCTGGAATCTTGACCTTAGCCTGTTATCTGGACTCTGTTTATGAACCTGTGCTGCCTGCCTCGACTTTTGCCTGTGTGACTTCGATTCTGGTATTCCCTTTCAATAAAGTTCTGCACATGGATCCGACCGCCTCTGTCCGTACGTTACACAGAGAGAGAGAGAGAGAGAGAGAGAGAGAGAGAGAGAGAGAGAGAGAGAGAGAGAGAGAGAGAGAGAGAGAGATATATATATATATATATATATATATATATATAATTCTCACTATATTAACTATGACCTTTGCCTCAATAAACTCCTTACTGCTTATTAATAGTTAGTAAGGTAGTTGTATTTTTTTCAGTACCATAGGTCTGTTCACTGGTAATGACATCATCATAGCCCTCTGGTGTGTCATCTACAAGTTGAACATTAAATCAATTCCATCAAGCTCAAAAGAAACTTGAATGCATAAATTAATATGTACAGTGCAGACTAACAGAGAGAACTACAACTACAGTAGAAGTGAACCAGCACCTGTCTCACAAACTGGTTTTGGTACATGAATGATGATTTCCTCATAGTATCCAGATGTGTTTGCATTCACCCTGTCTTCAACATCAGAACAAAATATGAATATAAAAAAATTAAGATATTTGCAGAATTAAAATGGTTTATGATTTTAATCATCTGGTAATGAGATTACCAGTTTACAAAGCCAATGTCATATTATGCCATTGCTATTCAAAACATCAGAGTCTATTATATTCAGTAGGGCTTAGCATTGTATATTGGGGTGCACACTTACAGGTCAAACATTTCCTGGAATTTGTGAATTTGACTATACATTTTTTTTTTTTTTAAATCACTTCTAACCTGAGAGAAGCGAATCAACATCTTCATACCCAGAATTCAGTTCTTCCGAGACGAGACTCCCTCCTGTTAAAGGAGAGCAGAACAGAAACAGAAACAGACTGAATCCTCAAATCCTTTGGGTCATAACGCTCTGTGTTAGTGAGAGCAAGAAAATACTATAAATGCTTTTTTTGGGTGGGGTTGGGGATGGTCATATTTTTGTATATTTTATCATCTTAATTATTTTAACATACACCTGCAGTTATATTTTTTCTTTGTGGATTGATACATAATTAAAACTTATTAGTTAGATGTGAATGATAGAAACATATTTAATTCTACAGTGGATCAGACCTGTATCACTGATGTCTCTTGCCAATTAATGATGAAGGTACATAATTAAGACTGAAGGAAATAGCTCACGCTACTGACAAAACTTTAACACAGATGACTGAGATTTTTGCTTGATGGCGTTCCTTTTCTCAGCAAGGTTTTCACAATGATCTAAAAACTAAAAACCAATGATCTGAGTTGCATTCCAATTAATCAAATATGGCCTGCGAAGTGGACTTCATGGGGTATTACTCTGTCTGAAGTGACATTTAATTTCAAATGGAGCAAATATGTTCACTGCAAATACTAAAGGGAATGAGGGTTCATCAACTTCACTTCACCGGAAGTGGAGAGGGAAATTTACCCACCTGTCATTGTGCATCACCACCACAGTACTTTTAGTTTGATTGAAATAAAAACTAGATAATTAATACATTTAATTAGTCCCAGGTGTGGTTTGTACATGACTGTTCATGGGTACAATGTGCACAAGAGGCAACAGTTATAATGCAAGAGGAGAAGTGAACACTTTTTAGGGACCCTTTGATCAGAATGCAGCAGTTTAAGTTTTGAAAAATCTCTGATGATGCCTCACCTGTATGAGTCAATTGATTGTGTCTGTGATAAATTTCCTCGTAAACTACCTCACTTGGTGCCCTGTGTAGTCCTGTGTACCAGTCAGAGAGAGCTGTGAGTGTAGACAGACAAACCTGCTGTCAGTTCACAACACATGACTGATCACACACTGAATAAGACACAATATGACAGTCTCTGGATCTCTCCTACCTCTCCTCATCACTCTGTTCTGCTGAACCAGTATAAGCAGTGGCACTAAGAGCAGTAAGAGCAAAACTCCCAGTACAACCACAAGCACAGAGAGAGACGCTGCTGGAGGAGTTTGTGGAGGAGTGACTGATGTTGAGCGCACTGTCTGAGAAACTGGAGGAGAAGCTGATGTTGTTGTGGCAGGAGTAGTGGACACTGACAAATCTGTAAACACATTTAAAATGATGATTGTCTAGAACACACAAATATTATATGCTCTAAAATTATGTGAAAATGACTACTATTTGTCAGTGTGTTGCAGTGACCTGCACATGTGAGTCCAGCGTGCTCTTTGTGAGAACAGTCAGTGTGGTTCTTCAGGGAGAGAGGACAGTCCCACAGGTGAATCTCATTCCCTCTGCACTCGACTCTGTTCAGCCACACAACACCTTCACCAGCACCAAAGACTGAATTCCCATCAGCCCTCAGTGCGTCTCCACAACCCAGCTGCCTGCAGACCACCTGAGCATCGCTGATGTCCCACAGATCAGCACAGACTGAACCCCACACAGCGTTATGATACACCTCCAGCCTCCCAGAGCACCGGCCCAAACCTCCACTCAGTCTGAGAGGAACATGCTCTAAATCACACACAGCAACATAAATGACCAGCTTCAGTACAACATTTACAACAAACACACACTGAAACTGGAGGACTTTAAAGCTGTGATTAATTTTGACTGTGGAATAAATAAAAAAGTACTGTACAAAAAAATATATAAGAAAAAAAGGAAATATAAGCTTATGATAAACTTACTTGAACACTGTCTCTGGTGAGGAGATGGAGAGTTTGAACATGTCAGACGACTCTGAGGAGACTCATGATTTTCCTTCTCTGAAATATTAAAGTTTCAAAACACCACTAATCAAAATATTAGACATAAATATTATTGAACCAAATATGATCATGTCGAACTATCTTAAATCAGTTAAATATGATATTACCTGAGCAGGTGATTTTGGCCACTTCATTATGACATACATGCTGTCCCCAGGCTGAAGATTGACACTGCCATAAAGCAGAGTCATGTTGCCGACATTTAAAAAATTCAAGCCAGTTATGAGACTTCAGTCCCTCTGAATTACTGGGTTCACTGCCAGATCTTCCACAGTTCAGCTCTTGACAGATCAGACTCGCTGTGTCTCTGTTCATCTTATGGTAACACACATTACCCCAGGATCCATTGTAGAAAACCTCCACATTCCCTTCACAGCCCTCAGTTAACCTGATCTCTTTAAACTCTAGATGGAAAGGATGAAAATCAATGTAAACTCAAGTAAATCTGTTCATTTGAGATGGAAACCATAAAATAATTTGACGTTTAAATCAATTGATGCTTCTTTTAGTGCTTTTAAGGTATAAATATTTGGGAAAACAAAATGCAAATCCATTTTAAAAGAATGAGATAATTTGAATAATAAATATGTTTAAAACAATTCATACAAAGGGTATATACACAGATTTTTTAGTAACTTTTCAGTCGTTTTGGGGGCGATATAATGTAATACTCAACAATTTTAAACAAACAAAAATGTGAAAAAATATTTTATTTATTCATATTTATAAAATACTACTGACCAAATGCACAAAATGTATATTAAGCGACATTTTGTTGGATTAGCATCCAATCAGTAACTACATTTCAATTTTCAGAGTTGGTTCTAAACTGTATGTTTTTGATTCACTGAACAGAATTGACCCATTTGTTCAGAAGTCACAACACTGTATGCTGTGTGCTTTTTATTCACTAAAATAACCGAATCATTAAAGTCATTAATTCAGCAATCGGACTACATTAGTTGTGCTTTCCATTTCATGCTGTAGATTCAGTAATGCAGTGTTGCAGTACTGATAAGTAAGAACTTCAGAAAACTCTGTCAGGTTATTGTATTACAGTATTCCATCCGCATTGAAAAGTGCATGTGGAAGAAACTTTACCGAAATTGGTTATAATATTTTCTAAATATTTTCTGAATAAGAACCTATTCTCAGTTCCCAACACTGCTGTTGATGTGCATAACGGAGTATACTGGATATTATCAGGCACATTTTAGGTTATTTAAATGTTATTATTTAAATGATAGTTTACCATTTACCTGAACACACGACTCCTACATCCTCCTTGTGTTGACAGTCATGTTTCCCCCAGCCTGGAGAAGAGCAGTTCCACAGGGACGTCTCATTCCCCTCACACTCCACCTCATCCAGCCATATGGGTCCAGAACCAGGACCAAACCAGGCTGGTACCTGCTGGTTACTGAGGGCCACTCCACACTGCAGCTGTCTGCACACCACATGGGCATCTTTAATATCCCAGGAGTCATCACACACTGTCCCCCATGAGCTGCTGTGAAAAACCTCCAGCCTCCCTGCACAGTCTCCCCCAGAACCCACCAGCCTGATGGACCCGCGACCTGATATTCAGAGGGAGAAAAACACATTATTGATCACCAACAACTGAAGAATCTGCCCAGATGTTGTTGTTCTCACCAAGGCAGGTGATTGACAGCTGTTGTGTGGAGCTGCAGTTGAGAGTGTGTGGAGAGCTGCAGTTCCCCAGATGAGCTTCACTCCCAGAGCACTGGAAGCCCGTCACACACTCATGACTGTGTTCAGGACTGGATGAAGAGGAGCCGGAGAAGTTCAGCACAGAGCCACAGCCCAGCTGTCTGCAGACCACAGAGGATTCAGTGAGACTCCAGGAGTCCAGCAGAACTCTCCTCCAGACCTGATGGATGGAAACTTCCAGCTCCCCCTCACACGGTCTCTCTCCAAACAACCGCACCAGACCGTCATGAACAGCCAGAGAGGAATCTGAGTGAAAGATGAGGCATTTTATCAAGATATTGCAAGATTTATACAGTTGCATTCAAAATTATTCAATCTCCATTGCAAATCAGGTTTATTGACAAAATTTACAAACTTTCAGCTGTTTACAATGAACAAATTAAACAAAAGAAATGGCAATAGCTCAACACACAAAATGTTTATAGAAAAGAGGTTTAACTCCTTGAAGGTGAATAATTTTGAAACTGCAGAAGTTATAAAAAGTTGCATTTTCAGTTAAATTTGGGGAAACCACTTGAAACATTTGTTGTGTTGAGCTATTTCAATTACTTTTGTTTGATTTGTTCATTGCAAACAGCTGAAAGTTTGTACATTTTGCCAATAAACCTGATTTGCAAATGGGGGTTGAATAATTTCAATTGCAAATGTAGGTAATTTAAAACTTATTTTTTTTTCAATAAAATTCCCTCACTAGAGCAAATGACTCCAACATCTCGTCTATGAGAACATTCAGCTCGACTCCATGAAGAGATGGAACATTCTGAGAGTTTTGTTTCATTCCCGTCACAATCAAACACATCAGCCCAGATTTCACCACTTCCCTCTCCAAACCAGTCTGATCCCACAACAGACACAGCAATCCCACAATTCAGCTGTCTACAGAGGACACTGGCAGCTCTCATATCCCAGCATGCATCACACACTGAGCCCCATTTCCTGAAGTACTGACGTTCAACTCGACCAGAACAGATGTCAGGACCATTGGCCAGTCTGAGGTCAGTGTAACCTATATAAAGTACACAGTTTACTTAAACAGTATGAAAAATGAAATGTAAATGTTTTTAAAATATGTTTATGATTATCTCAATAAGTTGAAAACTACAGTTCCATTACCAGAACATAACAGTCCAATATCATTATCATGAGTACAGTAGTGTTTGAGAGAAGATGACGTTGGACAGAAAGATATATAAGACTCATTTCCTCTGCACTGAATCTCTTGTGTCCACATCTGAGCGTCTCCTTTTCCAAAAGCATCTTCTCCCAGCACCTGTACAGGAGCTCCACAGTCCAGCTCTCTACACACAACCTCTGCATCCTGCTGGTCAAAGGCAGCGCCACACACTGAATTCCTGGTGTTTCCATGAACTATCTCTAATCTCCCAGAGCACAAATGAGGTCCATTGGTAAGTCTGGAATGTTTATGATCTGTTTTTATTACATTCAAAATGGTACAAAACAGAGAAAACAGAGTTATTCAGAGTGGCAAGCTTAAGAGACTATATTGCATTTAGCAGTTGCAGTCCCTAAATAACATTAATCATATGAAAATTACATCACATCAGATTAGCTGTTCTGTCAAGAGAGTATTGTGTAATTTATGTTTATCGCAATATTAAAGTACACAATGTCATTCACCTGAACAGATGACTCCAGCATCACCATTATGATCACAGGTATGTTTACCCCACCCTGCTGATTCACAGTTTTTCAGTGAAGACTCAATTCCAAAACAACATAAAACACTCATCCAGATTGGTCCTGATCCTGGTCCAAAATGAGCATTACCCAGAGCATCTACAGGTTCTCCACAGTCCAGCTCTCTACACACCACTGCAGCATCAGTCATATCCCAGAAATCATCACACACTGTTCCCCACTGACCTCTATGAAGAACCTCCACTCTACCAGCACAGCGACTGTGACCACCAACTAGCCTCACATTCGAACCGACTATATATTGAACAGAGAGCATGAGAAATGAAGAGACATTGAGAAATGCTTCACATCCTCTGGCACTGAAAACCTGCAGTGTGTGGAAGGCCATATTCATTTTTGTACTATATATCAGGAAATCCTAGGAGAAAACGTAATGCCATAATTTAGGAAGCTGAAGCTTAGATGTCATTGGACCTTCCAAAAGGACAATGATCCCAAGTATACCTCAAATTCCACCAAGGCTTGGTTGCAAAAGAAGTCCTGGAAGATTCTACAGTGGCCATCCAATTATGTGACTTGAACCCAGTCAAAAATCTTTGGTAGGATTGGAAGGCGGCGGTTGCACCATGCAAACCCAATAATATTACTGTACTGGAGTCCATTGCTCATGAGGAAAGGGCTCAGATTCCTCAGAAACGCTGCCAGAAGCTGCTGTCTGGTCATACATCGCGTTTACAGCAGGTCATAACAGCAAAATGTGTTCTAAGTACTAAAGATGCTTGCCATGATGGGGTTGAATAATTTTGAGATTGCAGAAGTCATTCAAAGTTGTATTTTCAGTTGAACTTGGGGAAACCACTTGAAACATTTGTTGTGTTGAGTTATTTCAATTACTTTTATTTTATTTGTTCATTGCAAACAGCTGAAAGTGTGCATTCAGCTGTTGCTGAATGTGTGTGTGCATGCGTTTATGTGTTAGACATTAGTTTTATGTGTTAGAAATATCAATAAAATCTCATTTGTATTTAAAGAGAAGTGTTCTTGTGTTATGTGCTTATATAAATTTAATGTCTTAAAATGATAATTACATTGGTAATAAATAGTGTTTTCACTATAGTTTGAATATTAATATCCGCTGCAGAGCTCATAGTTACCATGATCACTCATTGTTTTACACATTAAACTTGTGGCCACAAGAAAAAAAATAGTTTCCTCAACAATAGAATAGAAAATACTCTACATTTTGGTGAAATGAGAACACTTTTAGTAATGTTATATTAAGGTGAGGTACTGTACAAAGAAAGCAGTTTACCTGAACAGATGACTCCAGCATCTTCAGTATGATCACATTTGCTTTGACCCCATCCTGATGACCCACAGTTCTTCAGTGTAGACTCTGATCCAGTACACATGACATAACTCATCCAGATTGGTCCTGATCCTGGTCCAAAATGAGCATCACCCAGAGCATCTACAGGTTCTCCACAGTCTAGCTCTCTACACACCACTGCCGCATCAGCCATTTCCCAGTCATCTCCACACACTGTTCCCCACTGACCTCTATGAAGAACCTCCACTCTACCAGCACAGCGACTGTGACCACCAACTAGCCTCACATTCGAACCGACTATATATTGAACAGAGAGCATGAGAGATGAAGAGACATTGAGAAACATTGAGAAATAAAGATTGAGATAAAAGAAATGACACAATGAGGAGGGAAAGCACATTGATAAAACATCAAGTTTTAATCTGATTTGAATCTGAAGTGAAAATTTGTTTCAACCTGGACACACAAATTCAAAGTCGTTGCCATGAGAACAGTTGTTTTCATCTAATGGTGATGTTGGACAGAAGTGAATCTGAGACTCATTTCCTCTGCACTGAATCTCTTGTATCCACATCTGAGCCTTTCCTTTGCCAAAAGCATCTTCTCCCAGCACCTGTACAGGAGCCCCACAGTCCAGCTCTCTACACACAACCTCTGCATCCTGCTGGTCAAAGGCAGCGTCACACACTGACACCCACGACTGATCATCAAGTATCTCTAACCTCCCAGAGCAGCGAGAACCTCCAACCAGCCGGACTCCTAAAGGAATCCAGATCATTTAAATGATTTTTGGGAAGAAAAAAAAACCTTGTACACAGGCATATAAATATTTTATAGATTCCTATATCATATTGTATAAGAGAAACACCACATGTTGTATATGAAACAACAACAAAAACAACAACTAAAATCTAACATATTAAAAAGTGAAAAAGATTGAGAAAAATAAAGTTAAATAAACATGTAATATATAGTTTTTTTCACATTTATTTATTAGCATAAGTAAGATACAGAGAAACAATAAAATGAGTGTTTAAACAGTTGTAATTTGAGGACAGTAAGATTTAGTTTGGGGAAAAAAAATATTGAGCAAGATGCATTAATTTGTTTAAAATGGCAGTAGTCATTTAGAATGTTACAAAATATTTCTGTTACATATAAATGCTTTAAACTCCTTCAGAAAACACATCCACAATTCATTAAGCAGCACAACCATTTTCAACTTTGCTGAAATTCCTCATGAGCACCAAATCTAAGATTTCAGGAGGATCATGTGACACTGAAGACAGAGGTAATGTCTGCTAGAAAATTCATGTTAAAATAGAAAACAGTCATTTTAAACTGCCAAAAAAAAAAAAAGTAGTACCGGTTTTGCTGGGCATAAGCAGCTTCTTTAAAAAAAAATCTTACTGACCTCAAACTTTTGAATGTGGTGTATAAAATAAAAATATTTTACATTTTATGATGTTGGTGAGAAGCTAATTTCAGTGATGTAATATTATGGTGCAGAATGGAGCAGTTTACCTGAACAGATGACTCCAGCATCATTACTATGATCACAGTTGCTTTTACCCCATCCTGCTGACCCACACTTCTTCAGTGTAGACTCTGATCCAGTACACGAGACATAACTAATCCAGATTGGTCCTGATCCTGGTCCAAAATGAGCATCACCCAGAGCATCTACAGGTTCTCCACAGTCCAGCTCTCTACACACCACTGCCGCATCAGCCATATCCCAGTTATCGCCACACACTGTTCCCCACTGACCTCTATGAAGAACCTCCACTCTACCAGCACACGGACTGTGACCACCAACCAACCGCACATACACACTTTTCTTTTGTGCAACAGAAAAATGACAGACTGGGAGACAGAAAGAAGGAAAAAATAAGAAGTTAACAACAACAACGCACAAAATGTACATAATTAATAATTGAGATAATTTCATCCTCAACTGAAAGTATAAACCTACTAGCGGTGATGAGTTTGATTAGAAACATCAGACTCTTCATCATCATCTTCTGCTGGACGCACACCATTTCATCAGCTCGGAGAACACAGCACAAGTTTCTTTTCTGTTCCTCAAACACACTGAAGAAACTGGGTACTGTCAGCCCCCTAAAGAGGAGAGCCCTAAAACTTTCCAATCAGGTTCATCATTACCTTATTAGACAGAACAGAGGAAATCATCAAACAACTTCAGTGACAAATCAGAGGAGGCATTTCTGATTTATACCATATATATCAAAAGCTCGTCAGCGCTGAAAAGAACTCCTCCTCCATATCAAGACACTTCAGTGAGGATACACACACACACACACCTGCCAGAGGCAAAAATAGTCACACATAATTTGGGAAACTTTGAAGATTTCAGAGAGAGGAAGCACCCCATGTTATATACAGCATCAGAACCAAACACCTGCTGATACAGACACTGATAACTGCTCAATTCAAACATGCAAAACATATACTTATGTTGAACATATTTTATAAATGTATATTTTAAATTTACAGAATATAATTATGTATAAATAACAACAAAACAACATATTTGTCCCAAATTAAAACTAAATTGCCCATTCTAACATATTATTATTTAGTTTTATCAATTTTAATGTTCATTGTTAGAAAAACCCAGATATCAGTTGTAAATAAAAAGGTTTTATTGAGAATTTTACAGAGAATTTAGCAGCCTTTAGGCAACAGGCATGTGCATTGTGGCAAAGCGTTACTCAACCACAAGATGGCAGAAAAACACTTGTTATTCTAAATACAGGCAGACGTAATTCAGGGGAGCCCGATCCTGTTCCTGAAGTGCAACCTATCCGTCCAACCCTGATGCAACACAACTGTCTGTAATTATCAAGTGTTCCTGGAGATCTTAATAAGCTGGTTCAGTTGTGTTCGCTCAAGGTTGGAGCTGAACTTTTCAGGAAGGTAGATCTCCAGGAACAGATTTGGCATCCTTGCTGTAATGTGTTACTCTTCCAAAAGAGGTCAGCGAAACATTCATG